TGGAGTCATAACAATAAGATCAATCTGAATGACGGTCAATGCAATAATAAGCTGTTCTTAACGCCGTTACGGCGTTCTGTGCCGTCCCCATTTAAATGGGCTTTAAAGCCGTTGCGGCGGCATAGAACGCCGTAACTGCTTTTAGCCACAGGAGGTCAGACTTACTTACCTCTTTGGGAGGGGGGCCATGTGATCACATGGCCCCCTATAGCTTGCTGTGGATCTGCCAGCAGGGTGACTATCTGAAATGTCAGACAGTCCCCCTGCTGGTAGGAAGAATAATAAAAATATTATTAGACAAGTTTAAAATTAAATAAATGTGTGTGTGTGTATGTGTATGTTCATCTTATATATATGTAGCGTCATACGTAGTGTATTTTAATGTTAATATAAGTACATAAAATAATAAAATAAAATATTAAAAAAAAAAAAAAAAAATTATACATACATATGTAATCTCATTCTAACTGTATTTTGTTATTAATATATATATATAGGTAACAAAATACACTTAGAATGACATTCTATATATATCTATCTATATATAAAATACAAATAACTGCAAATATTTATATATAGATAAATATATATAATTACATAAATAACTACATAAGTATACACGTAGAATTTAAATACATATATATGTATATATATAAAAATTCTACGTGTATGCTTAAGTAATATTTTAAAATAATTATGTGATTTAATTAATTAAAATTTGATTGACGTGCCTGACAACCCAGGCAGCAAGTGCAGAGAATTAAATTTGCATGCGCTATATTTAACCCTGTAACTTTCCAAGACACCATAAAACCTGTACATGGGGGGTACTGTTTTACTCGGGAGACTTCGCTGAACAAAAATATTAGTGTTTCAAAATAATAAATTGTATTACAACAATGATATATTTAGTAAAAGTGACGTTTTTTGCATTTTTCACACACGAACGGCACTTTTACTGACAATATTATTGTTGTAATATGTTTTACTGTTTTGAAACCCTTATGTTTGTGTTCAGTGAAGTCTCCCAAGTATAACAGTACCCCCTATGTACAGGTTTTATGGTGTTTTGGAAAGTTAGAGAGTCAAATATAAGGCTTGCATTTCATTTTTTTCACATTGAAATTTGCCAGATTGGTTACGTTGCCTTTGAAACCGTATGATAGCCCAGGAATGAGAATTACCCCCATGATGGCATACCATTTGCAAAAGTAGACAACCTAAGGTATTGCAAATGGGGTATGTCCAGTCATTTTTAGTAGCCACTTAGTCACAAACACTGGCCAAATATTTGTTTTTTGCTTTTTTTTCACACAAAAACAAATATGAACGCTAAATTTGGCCAGTGGTTGTGACTAAGTGGCTACTAAAAAAGACTGGACATACCCCACTTGCAATACCTTGGGTTGTCTACTTTTGCAAATGGTATGCCATCATGGGGGCAATTCTCATTCCTGGGCTACTGCACAGTCTCAAAGGTAACATTACTAATCTGGCAAATTTCAATTTGAAAAAAATGAAAAATGGAATGTGCCATATTTGATCGTGTAACTTTCCAAAACACCGTAAAAACTGTTAATGGGGGGTAATGTTGTACTCGTTAGACATTGCTGAATCCAAATATGTGTTTGTTTGTTTTTTTTGCCAGTTAAAGCTAACAGTATTATGATATTTACAGCTAAAATGTCTACAATTTTTTTTTTAAATCTAAATTTCTCACAGGTTTTTAAAATTTATTCATACTAAATTATGTTTCCATTATGAATAGTTCATGAGGAATTAAAGCCCAGTTTCTCCTGAACAAAATGATATATAATAAGTGTGGGTGCACTTAATATGAAAGAGGTGAATTACGGTTGAACAGACATTTGCGCAAATTCCAGTTTTTGTTTACATTTTGTTTTGATCAGAAAGTGTATTATTGACTCCATCCTGAAGGGGTTAAAGCTACTAAATCGAGGTAATAGCAAGATAGTACTTGGTAGTAGAACTAAACCATTTTAGCGTTTAATAAAAAAGATTGGCTTAAGTAGCTTACAGATCCTTCTGGTAAAGGCTATCTGTTGATCACACAGCATAGGTATCCCTTAGTATCCCTTTGGTATGCAGAGTATTTTTAGATGGATCTCAATAATTGACAGTTAAATGAGGTATCTAGACAGTAATTACAGCAGAGTGAGCTGACACTTTCGTTTTCTCAGGACTGGTGAGGAATATGCAGGCAGCTTGCCATGTAAAATGCTGAACCAGTGGAATAAATCTTACTTAGATGCTAATAGCTGTTGAAACTTTAGAAAGGGCGGTTCTCACGAAAGCTTGTCATTACAAAATTCAGTTGGTCCAATAAAATAAAGATATTACATGATACAAATTTCATCTGTTATTGTGTTATTTTACATCTGCATCACTTGACTTATACGGCTACTATATATCTCCAGAAGTGATAAATGGATGAGACAGCGCTGATCAACTTAAGGCAGCGACCCTTAAAGGGGAATCCCTCAAGATACCCTTAAAACAAGATAAATAAAAATAACAGTAAAAAGGGCTGCGCCATGTAAACTCCAAATAAAAACAAAATAAAAAAGTCCAGATAGTGTGTCCTTACGGATAGTCTTTGTGGAAGGCTGTTAAGGTGGTTGATTCTTGAAATACAATAGTGGGTCCTATTTGCGAGAGCTTATATCCAGCTCTGAGGTAAAGCGCTCACAGCGGTATAATCCCCGCTTATGGGATATATGGTGGGATAGCTCTCCGTCAGGGGTGACCAATTCTCAAAGAGAAGAAGAGACAACCAATAGTGCTCACTGTATACCGGTGATGGTATAAATTAAATAGAAACGTACTTACAAATAGAGAGCAGGCGGACTGCTCTATGATGTCAGCGTAAGTGGATTGATCCCCACTTAGGATTTCTTGGGGTACTGAAATCTTCCAATTTGTTGGTGCAACCAAAAAAATGGTTTAAAATAATAAAATTTATATAATAAAACGAAATAATATAAAATAAATATAATTAAAAAGCCAGGGTAAAAATAAAATAAAAAGAGGATATAAAAAACATAATTGGCACAATTAAATAACCAAATTAACTTTTAATATAATACACAATTTAAATATCCATAACTCGTTTCGTCAAAAGAGACTTTATCAAATGGAATAACATTTACTACCTGGCACATAGGGGTTATATAAGACACAAATAATTAGAATATGGGCGCCAAAAATTAGAGCAGCCAATCAAAATTCACAATTTATAGGCAGGCTCAAAACTTTAAAATGAATATATCACACAACATTCTAAGGTGTCCTGTCCTATTTAAAATCAATTAGAAGTAAAAACAAAGGGGGGAAAGTATGAAATTTCGTATTTCAAAGCAGTCACGTGATTTTCGGCACTTCCGCGTACCGGAAGTGCCGAACGGCAGCATGGGATATGTAGTTTATGGCCGCAAATGGCGGCCGAGAGACCAAATAGGGAGGGGAATGTGGGTGTTAACTGAAAGGGGTTCTGCCATCTTAGGAAGGTACTACATCAGCCATATTGGGAATGGCAGATAGGGGATATACTTGTTAATGGGAAAAGTATGTCATAATAAATGGAACAGTTTTAAAATAAAACAGTTTGGAATAAAACAGTGTAAAATAACAAAAACCTAATGGCAATATAAAAATAAAGTATAAAAATAACAATAAGCAATACAAATTGTAACAATATTTGATAAAATAGCAGAGTTAAAACAAATTAAAGGCATATACACATATTCATAAAAATTCATAAATTATGTAAGTCGAAATCTGCATTTAGACCATGGGGTATAAGGGTCTTAAGGTTATACACCCACTCCATTTCAGTTTTTCCAAGTACCTTTTTTATATCTCCTCCACACCATGAGGTAGAACATTTTTTTATACCAATACATTTGAGTAGATTTGGGTCTTTATTATGCATAATAAAATGTTTGGATACTGTATGAGTTAGGTATCCATTTTTTATATTTCTACAATGTTCGCTCAATCTTATCTTTAAGCACCTTGTGGTCATCCCCACATATTGGAGGCCACATGGGCATTTGAGCAGATAAACAACATTCTTGGAATTGCAGCAAATAAAATGATAAATATTATATACCTTTTTGGTTATATTTGACCTAAATTAGGTAACCTTAGATAAAACTGAAGAATCTGTAGTTCTACACACTATACATTGTTTACATTTATAAAAGCCTTTTGTCTGAGAAAAAAAGAGAAGTTCTTAGTCGGAGATTCTTTAGTAAAATTAGTGGTGAGAATAGATTTAAAACTAGGAGCTCCTCTGAATACAATATTTGGGTGGGTTGGTAGAATTGAGTTAAGTATCTCATCATGTTTGAGTATATGCCAATGCTTTTTTTTTTTTTTTTTTAATTCTTTATTTTATCGTGCATGGATTATACAGGTTACATTTACGCCAGCAATGCTACAACAGCGTATGCCAGAGTTTCCATAAACATATAAAGATAGTTGGCATGAATGAACAATGCACATTTTTAATTTTTGAGTAGACAGTGGTGTGATACAAGCCCAAGCTACGATTATGTGAGAGGCTATGTGGGCCTATCTATTGCTTATGTCAGTAGATGTATAGCAGTCGTCTGGTGGATGAATGGTGAGTAAATAGTTAACTGACTAGGCGTGTTATGCAGTCTGAGTGAGCTATACAAATAAACCTATGCTTCCTTTATGGCTTAACTCCTAGGACAGGGTTGTAGTTAGATAAGTATAAGGTGTAGTTTACATGCTTACTGTGAGTAGTTAATGCCCCTAGGTGCAGTATGGTGAAATATTGTGTACCTGTTAGTGAAACAGATGCTTCAAAGATAATCGTGAACTCCCTAACTCAAGCTATTTTCAGAGGAGTAGAGTGTAATTCAGGTCTAGGATAAGAAAGGGGTGCGTACTGATATCTTGCTAATGAAGCCCAACAGGATCCCCTGCAGCCACCACCCCACAATCCCCATTCACCCGATGCCTCGTTTCGTCAGAGCAAAGTCCCCGTCTGTGTTGGAGCATGTTGCGTTTTGAGTCCCAGGTAAGAGGCAATGCTTTTCGGTGGCCAGGAGCAAGATTCTCCTTGACTTGTTGAGTGTGATGCAGGGCTGAGGTTTGCCCTTTGGCGGGTTTCGCCTCCCTGCTGCTGCTGGTTTCGTTGGGCTCTGCGGTTTGCGCGTCGTCCACGTTAAAGCCTTCACCGTGGGTGCCTGTTGCCGTGCTTTGAGCTTGTGGGAGGCATCTTGTTTGTTGTGCCGCCGGGATGAAGCTTCTCCCTCTGGTGCCGTTGCTGATCGCGGTGGGTGACTCCGAGGTAAGCTTTTACCCTTTGGCAAACTGCCAGGGTGGGTAGTTGGGCCCCTCGACGGGGCACGTTTCCCGCCCTGCCGCCATGTTGGGGCTCGCTGGGTAGTTGCCGCTGCGATCTTCTGTTTCATGACTGGGGTCGGCTTGTGCAGTGTGCAGTCACCGGGCTGGCTCCAGACAGGTTGGTATATCTTATTCTCCAGCTTGCGCCAGAAATTGTCAAATATCCTGTCCAGCCTGGCCAGGATGTCAGGGTTGTCCTCCGTGTTATTGGGGGTCCGCTCTGCACCCGCCATTTTGGCTGTGTCGTTGCAGGTTGTGGTAGCCGCTGTGGCCCTGTCTCTATCTCCCGCCATGTCTGAGCAGCCTCTCAGGGGTGGACCGGGGTAACCCCCACCGGTCCAAGGGGGGAGGTAACGGGGTTCTCGTGCCATGTTGTGTGCCTTTGAGCTGCTCCGGGCCGGTGGATCGGCCGCTTCCCCCGTCCAGTGCGTCTCAGGCCGCATGATTTGGGCAGTGTAGCAGATGAGCTCCTTGCAGATTATCACCACCCACAGTGGGTCTCACTAGGGTCGGGAGTTATATACTTCGCTTAGATTGTTCCCACTTAGGCAGAATATGGGTGATTTCTTCGGTTCAAGCTTGCCTAGGAGAGGAGCTCCTGCAAAACACGTCTCTCCTCCATGGCAGTCAGGCCCCGCCCCCCTATGCCAATGCTTTTTTATTATTCTTTTTACATCATTGCTTTTATTATTATTAAAAAAAAAAAAGAGATATTGCTTCGTTTTGTTCTTTATTTTTATAGGTTAAAAGATCTTTACGTTCTTTTTGTTGCACTATATTGATTGTATTATTTAGGTCTGATTCAGAATAATTTTTTTCTATAAATTTATTTTTTAATATTTCCGCTTGTTCATTGAAATCTGTAATTTTTTTTGTATAATAAATTTTATTGATTTTGTAGTGTTATAGACAGACTGACAGGTACAAGTGTGGGAATGGTCACAGTACAGGAGTGTATCACACTTCATGAATAGCATACATCTCTAGCTGAACATTGAGGAACCATAATACATAGATATAACGTGAGATCATAAGACAATGGCCTGCAGCTGTAGTCAGCATTGTCCAGTCGATTAGTTTCTGTATCCTGATATAACCTATCAATACAAATCGTAAATTGGGGGGAGGGGTGGGTGGGAGGAGAAACAAGAGGAGGGGAGGGGGATAAGGGGGAGATCGGCTGTGTTTTGGGTATTTATTCTACCTTGGAGTCCGTTCCTAACTATGTGCTCTGTTGGGTTGATCGCCGCCAATCGTCCCATTTTTGCCATGCCTCTGGCCAAACCCTGCTGGCGGTTCTCATCCGCCGTGCTGCGGTTTCGTAAGATTTGGTGGTTTCCACCAGTGTTAAGCATTGGTCAATGGTTGGTGGGTGTTCGTTGAGCCACAGTCTGCTTATGGACAGTAAGGCTGTGATAATGATGTGATATATGAGATATTGGTCTGTTTTTCGTAGATCTTGGGGTGTTGCTAATAGAAGGTAGGTTTCTGGGGAGAACGGCAGAGCCACACCCGTGGCCCCGGCTATTGCCTTCGAGACATTGCCCCAGAAGGACTTGAGTTTTGGGCAGGTCCACCAGATGTGGAGCATTGTTCCCTTCTCTTTTAAGCATCACCAGCATAGATCTGACTTCTGTTTATCAAATTTGTGTAGCCTAGTGGGCACCATGTACCAACGGTACAACACCTTCCTGCTGATCTCTATGTGGGATGTGTTTAATGTCAGGTGTTTAAAGGCCGGCAGCAGCCGGGACCATGTTTCGTTAGATATATCTAGGTTTAACTCTTTCTCCCAGGCCTTTATAAAGCTAAAAGCTTTTGGTGGTTCCTTGGGGCTAGATAATTTATATAGGAGAGACAGTAGTTTTTGTGGTGGTTTCGGGGCTATGCAGATTTTTTCTATTTCAGTCAGCGTGTGAATTTGTTGAGGTGCCTTATTGGTACCAACGTGATGTTTCGCCCACGATTGTAATTGTAGATAAGTAAAGTAGGCTTTGGGGGGCAGGTCAAACGTTTTGGATAGTAAGTTGTAGTCTATTATGTGGCCATCTAATATTATCTGAGATAAACATTTAACCCCACTGTTGTGCCATAGACCGTAGTCAAATCCGGGTATGAGGATATGAAACGCTGGAGTTTGTAGTGCTGGGGAGATATATGAGGCAGGGTAACAGTCTTTAATGTGTTTGTTCCATACTGAGAGTGTCGCAGACATAGTGGGGCATATGTTCTGACATCTTGGTCTTTTGTGTTTGGGGATCCAGGCTAGGGTGGACAGTGCTATCCCGCCAGTGTGTGCCATTTCTATGTGATGCCATGATGGTATTGTTGTATGGTGGAATGTTGTTATGAGAGTACCCATCAGGGCCGCTGTGTAATATTTCCTGATGTCTGGAGCCCCCATCCCACCCTCCTTGAATGGCCTATACATGGTAGCAGCCGCCACTCTGGGTCGTGTCTCCCCCCATATGAACCCATTCAGTGCGCTTTGAGCTTCCTTAAAAAAGCGTTGTGGTATGTGTATTTGGAGTGTTCGGAATAAGTACTGTAGCTTTGGTAGTATCATCATTTTTGCTGCCGCTATTCTCCCCGGCCATGAAATGTATTTCCCTTTCCAGCTATACATCTGTTGTTTAATAGCAGCAAGTAACTTTAGATAGTTTGCTTTATACATCTTCTTTATTTTGGGTGTGAGGTGGATCCCTAGAAATGTCAGGTGGTCCTTTCTCCAGTCATATGTATGTTCGTTCTTCAGTTTAATGAGTTGGTCTGTGGTGAGATTAAGGCCCATGGCCTGTGTTTTATTGATATTAAGTTTATAATAGGAGCATTCACTGAATTTCGTCAGTATTTTTTGGAGATGCGGCAATGTGGTGTCGGGTCTAGATAGGGTGAGCATTACATCGTCCGCGAATAGGGTGATCTTATGTGTTTTCCCCCCTATTGTGATCCCCGCGATGTCATTGTAGTCTCTTATATGTTGCGCTAGGGGTTCTAACGCCAGTATGTAAAGCAGTGGGGAAAGTGGGCATCCCTGCCTGGACCCATTAGAGACATGGAATAACTTGGAGGTGAAGCCTCCGTTCGTTATCTTCGCTGCCGGGTTATTATATAGTGCTGCAACCAGGGCCGGCCTTAGGGGTGTGCGAGCTGTGCGGCCGCACAGGGCGCCATGCCAACAGGGGCGCCGGGCAACCAACACAGCTCGCACAACCAGGTCCTGCCCTACCTCAGAGCGCCCTGGTGGGTGAAAGATTGCGCCCCAGCCGGCCAACCCAGAGTGTGCTCTGCTTTGGTATTGGCTGGTGAGTAGATTGAGGACCTCCCTCACTGGCCCGCTGTTTGGATGATGGGAGCGAGCATTGAGCGCTTTAAATCTGCTCTCCTCTCGCAAGCTTGGCATTCAGAGTGTTGCCGTGGCAACACTCTCATACTATCAACGCAGAGCTTGCTAGAGGAGGGCTCGTGTTCTGAAAGGACTGGCAGAGACCGCTGGACCACCAGGTCATCAGTATTCCCCCATCCCTGCCCAAAGGTATGCAAGAACGAGGGGGGCAGAAGGGGGGAATCAACATTAATTAATTTTAAGAAAACAAAACCTGAAATTGCTCTCCCATCTCCTCATTTAAAGCCTTATGTCACCCCCTCCTACCCACAAATCATCACTATCCCACCCTTACTGTGTTACCTACACACACTCCATAACACACACACACACACACTACATAATCTACTCACGCACGCACACTACATAATCTACTCACACACAGCATCCCCTATACACACACTACATAATCTACTCACACACACACACACGCACACGCCATAATCTACTCACATAAACACTATATAATCCACACACACCACATAATCTACTCACACATTACATAATCTACTCACACACAACGCTCTCTATAAACACACTTTGTTCTCTACACACATACACACTAGATATCTCACAAACACTACAAAATGTACAGACACACTATGCTCCCTATATATACACACTACGTAACTTGCACCCATACACACTACACACACACACACACTATGTTCCCTAAACACATACACACTATATACCCTATGCACACACTGTTTCCTACACACATACACACTACATCCCCTTTACACACACACACATTACATAACCTACACACACACACACATTACCTAACCTACACACACAAACATGCTACATCCCTATTCCACACACAACATAATGGCATGGCAATTTCAGGGAGTCAGGACACTCTTGTTAGAAATGTGTTTTTACTCCTAATGCTTGAGTGTTCCTTCACATAGGTTTGTTTTTCCCAAATCTATACACGTGGGAGGAATTCTTCTAGCCCATATATATATAATTTTCTGCTCATGATTTCTGAGAGTAATATTTAAATATACATGTATATTAATATGGGTGTATTATTATTATTATATGTTTTATTACACCTATAATATTTACAAATGAATTAATATACGTGTATATGTATGATATGTCCAGAAATCACGTTAATACGTAACACCTATGTAATGGACTTTTTACAAGATGGATGAGGGCATGTGACCATGGAGGGGCGCTGTGAATATTTTTCGCACAGGGCGCCTAAAGGCCTAAGGCCGGCCCTGGCTGCAACCAGCGTAATGAAACTATTTGGGAAGGCAAACTTCCTCAGTACAGCTTCTAGATACCCCCAGTGCAGCCTGTCAAACGCTTTCTCTGCGTCTAGTGACAGTGCCACACTGGGTTCCTCTGTTGTCTGGATCCTGTGGAGGATGTTGATCAGTTTCCTGGTCCCATCTGATCCCTGCCTGCCCCGGACAAAGCCCACCTGGTCATCTCGGATTAGTGTGGGGAGGATGCTTCCCAATCTATTGGCATATATTTTTGCCAGTATTTTTAAGTCCGTGTTTAGGAGTGATATCGGCCGCAGATTCTGGCATTTGTGTGGTGGTTTCCCAGGTTTCGGTAGTGTTGTTATGTGGGCTAGCAGCATCTCTTGCGGTATTTCCCCTGTCTTAAGTATAGTATTGTAAAGTTTTTCTAGTGTAGGAGTTAGGATGTGTGAGAAGGCCTTATAATACAAGTTTGTGAAGCCATCTGGGCCAGGAGATTTCCCCTTTGGGAGAGCTTTGATTGTGTGTGTTATTTCGGTCTGGGTAATGGGTTCGTCCAGAAAGGTTCGGTCCCCCTGTGTGAGTTGCCCTGTGTGGACTTCCGCTAGGAAGGTGTTAATGTCCGAAGCGAGTGGTTGGTGTGTGTTGTCATCTCTTCTTAGATTGTATAACTTGTCAT